ATTTAAAGTTCAAATTTTGACTAAAAATTACGGCAATGTTCAAATCGTATATCTACCATGCCGCCATCAAAGTGTTTTCGTTCACAAATTAAGTGGGACATTGGATTTAGATGAGACTATTTTATAAAGATTCTAACTAGCCTGATGGATAGTAAAACGTTTGAATCTGGTATAGAAAATTGTATTGTAATGAATGTAATGGGTTCTGTTAAATGACGTATATGATGATATAATTAATTTTCTATATTCTATAGATCAACTAAAAAAAATCTTTTAAGGATTGATTACCGAGAACTTTTAGAGTTGACAGTAATTTTTCTAGGTAGTATACTTCCTATTATCCTATTGGTATCCATTTTAAGAAACCAGGTGCTATTCATTATGTCCATTGGATAGCCAAAGCTATTTACAGCTTAAAAATATACCTATTTATGTTGCTTGCAATTTCAGTTAACAGTGAAAGAGGAAACTGTACAAAGAAATATTTTTATTTTTACTATTCGACTATTTATTAGAATATGGTTTGATGTGCCCTCTACTATCAAAGTACCTTTACAAGAGTTAAATTTTATTAAAAAACTTTTAAATTATYCTCCAATAGATAAGACAGGTCTCAGATTGCAGTTTAAAAGTTCTGTGGTCACATGACCATTATGATATCTGTGGTATTTGCCGGCAGAATTATGTACATTTGCTTTATTTGATGATGCTGTTTCAATTGTTACGAAGTGAAAAATGGTAAAAGCTATTAACAACGAAAAAAGTACATCAGAATACTTATCAAATACACAACGTATAACAATATCTCCAAAAAATGATAACTAGGTATGAGAAAAAAAAAATCAAAGATTTTATATGTGTAAAACTAGTACCTAATCTCTGTTAAAACGATTTGTCATCAACACAGATTTTCTAAATCTAGTCAATTTGGAAGAGTAGTGAATATTTTCAAAAATCAATGATTGCTTTAAAAAAAATTACTGTTATCATTGATGTCACAGAAAAGGGTTCAAAATTAATATAGGAATATAATGACAAAATAACTAAGGATGAAACACGAAAACAGCTAACTGCTACAAGTTGTTAGCGATACTATACTGCCGAAAATTTACTGACTGCAAAAAAAAAAACGCTCATTACATCATTATAAATTGAGTTGTATTAGTATATTTTAAAACGTATTTAATATAATAAATTATAGTTCGAAAGTAGTTAAGTAAATATTAAATAATAATTATATTAAATAATTTGTCTTTGTCGTAATACAAAATTTAATATTTAAAACTAAAACACTTAGGTAGCTAATTATCGTAAATTTATTTTGTTAAAACTAGGGTCTGGATTGAAATGCACTTAAATCCATACTAAAAAATAATTTGTCTTTAAATATTATCAATTATATTTTGCACYTTATTATTAATACTACAGCTTTAGAAAAGAATTTCTTTAAACAATGTTTACTGAATTTTATAGATTATACAATTAATAAGGAATATATACTTCAATTAAAATACAAAATTCCTCTATCTAATAATTGTGCTTATAAGTAACAGTACCCCAAAAGTGAACACAATACAGCCTTAATTTTAATTAAATTTTGTTAGATATAATAATACAATATATATAATGATTAACTTTTCACATGACACTATAACTACTTTTATAAAAATATTGTGTTTGATTTTAGTTTCTCAGTCCAAAATAGGAGTAATTATATTTATGAATTACTGTTGTTATTTGTTGTCATAAAAACTGCCTACTTGTGTAAGTATTGATAAATARTTTTAATCCATAATCAGAAAAATATGTACACTAACTATCACTATCACATTAAGTATAATTGTATAAATTACAATTGAAATAATTTGCAATTATTCATGCGTTCAATACACCATTTTACAATAAATATTTTTTTCAGTCATTTTCTCAATGTTGTGTTAAGCAATTTRGTTACACACTATACAATAATAATAGAAATAATAATTATTATATTAAACAATAAAACTAATCCATATATATATGACTTAAGATTTTTGAAAGAAAATTCCATAGCCTAAAGTCTTTTAATTATATCATAACAACAGTGGTGTAATTAGGAATTTGATCTAAGGGAGGATTATATGTTTTTTAGCAAAATCTACACCTCATACTACCACAYCAAATATAAAATATTAGCAGTAAAATAAAAGTTTGARTGAGGGATTTAACCTCTTCATTCCACTCCCTCTATTACACCCCTACATAACAATAGATTTACTATCATTATTTCAATTTACATAAAAAAAACACCCATAAAATTGATAAATTAAATGTCAAACTTAAAGATAGTACTTATTACATTAAGAATATTATTTTAAGCTTAAGTTATTATTTGTACTTAATTTCAATTAGTATATTATTATCTATTTTATTTATTAGMATCAGTATTACTAATTTTGGTAGATGGGTTTTCTGTAATGTCTGTATCGTCAGTACTCTGATAGATTATCATTGGTTCTTAATCGTCAGGATTGATAACCTCAATTTTTGGTATTATATTTTTATCATCAAGGAGATTTTCATCATGGAGATTTTCTTCATTAGAATTACCCAAGTTATCAGTTAAAGTGATATTTTCTGAATGCTCATCATCAGATTCACTCAGACAATCTTCAATAACTTCTGTAATTGGTTCAAATAATGCTTCAACATTGCCATTACAATATAATACTACTCGAACGCACCTATCAGGAAGATTAGCATATTTGACAATTTTCCAAAGGAATGTATCTATAACCAAATCATTAACATGCATGGGTAAATGACAAATTGGGCATTTCCATGTTGGTTTTATCTTATTCAATGTAAATAATGCTTCTAAATCAAAACATTGTAAATGATTACATTTTAAAGATCTTGTCGGTGTTTTCATTTTTAATGTGGTTATTGGACAGAGCAAATTAAACGTATAGAATTTTGAAATACTCCTTGATAAATCAATTCCTTTTGAAGAAGCTCTCATTATTTCTAAAGCCTTAGCTTTTGTATCAAGTGTTAAAGAACAAATCCTATTGCGATTTATGACTTGATCTATCATATGATTGATTGGCAGTACTTTTACAATATCTACAATTATATAATATGGTTCGTCATGAAAAGGCCAACATATTTTGATTATATTTTCGGCTCCCAAATTTAAAAAGTCGTTACAATTATAATGAATAGGACTATTCTCTGCAGTTTTTTTGTGGTTATTGATATAAATYTCTATCAATTTTGGTAGTCCCTCTGACAATTCAAATATCCCTTCTAGTTCTTTTCCACATCGTATCTGCAACTGTACACACTCTGAAGGGTTACGTTGGATCATTTCAACAATTTCTGAAGGCAATTCAAACTTAATTTCAAATTCAGTGTGATCTGAAAACCAAAAAATATTTAATTTGCCATCTTCAATACATAATATAATATGTATATATTTCTTTATTTTTTTTTTTTTTGTACCTTTATATGGAAGAGCCAAATGAGGCATAATTGGTTTAACACAAAAAACAAGCATTGGTTTCTGAATTTGATGGACACTAGTAAAAAATGGTAGACGTTTGAATGTCATATCAAATTCCATTTTGGGCTTTCGGTTGATAACACTGAAATTAACTTTTTTACGGGGTAGTTCACCAGCCATTTTGGAATTCAGTGTCTTATAATCTAAAAATAACTAAAAATAAATTTTTAATTAATTATTTTACACAAAAATAGTAAAAAATCTAAATTAAGCAATATTTTCTATCAAATTAGAAACAATTACTTTTKCTAAAAAAAATCAGACAAGGCTTATTATARGTACTATTAATACTTCTGAAAATGTCCTTCTATATAASATTTCATTTTTATTGTTGAACTAAATAATTGTAATTTAATTGTTGTTAATTATTGTGATATAATTATTATGATTTAATGGAGAATGCTAATATTTTTGGTCACTTTTAATTTTTTTTTCATTCTTGAATTGAAGGTAAATTTTTTTGGGGGAAATTTGATTTCAGTCAATATGGTTGATGATAATGTTATGGTTTATAGCTATTCAAATTATTTATCTTTGCAACGCTTAGTAGTTTCGTTGTGCCATAGGTAGTTGTTAGTCGTATAGATATTAGGGGAATAGTCACAAAAAGTTAAATAAAATGATTTTAATTGTACATGAATAGTTCCATAATAGAACTACTGAATACACTAAAATTTACTTGTGGAATTGTACCATAAATCTTGTAAGTTTTATTTAAAATTCAATTAATTTTCATTCTAAAAATAAAAATACATATGACACAATAGTGGAGAAATGAAAATGAAAATATTATTTAGAAAGAAAATCAATATATTATGCCATCCTACAAAACTGGGGATAAACAAATATAGGTATTTACTATAATCATTATCAAAGTCAGAATAAAAAACCAATTATTTTGTCCAGAATAATAATAAAATTAAATAAAAAGGTATTGAATAGTTTTATTTCATAATAGGTGTAATMATTTTCTCAGGATGTTAAATTATAGAATATTAAATATTGAATCAATATTTTTTTATATAAAAATATTTAATTATACGATTATCATTAAATTGGCAGGATATAGTGTACATTATTTTTTAAAAATAGAACCCATTCATCTAAATGTTTTACTAATTACAAATATTATAAGTACATTAACGTGTCATGATAAAATTTTGAGGATGTCTTTAAAAAATATATTTAGTAAACAAATACAATATTTCTTCAAAATAATGGTACTTATTGAAATTGCAACAAATTATAAATATAACTAATATAAGAAAGGTATTATTTTTTCTCTAAACTAAAAAAATGTATCAAGCAATAGTGGTGCATTCATTAATAGTGAATATTATCAAAACTTGGAGTACTCATATCTATATAATAAATTTTGAATTCTATATGATTTGATAAGTTCTATTTTGATTTTATATACATACTCAGTAAAGGAATATACTGTAATTTAAATTTTGGTACACTTTTGCTACAACTCATAAAAATACTAAAATATAAAAATATTAGCATTTAATTCATCCATAATTGATTGAGGAAGGTTAGAGAAATATAGTGAGTAATTTACATAAACTAGATTTTAATAGTCTCAATTTATAGCAAAGTTTTATGTATTTTATATTACCTTATATTTAATACCAACAATATTCAATAGGTATATTACAAGTTAGAAGTTATAATTATGTAATAGAATGATGTTACATTTTTACCTTTATTTATTTATTTATATAAATTTTAAACGGGCCAGGCCTAATTACATACATGATAATAGTAAAGACAATCGATCGTTMAAGTAATATACAAAAATTGAATAGTTAAAGAGAAAAACAATAAAGTACAATATTAATTATTATATAATATACTTATAGCTATGAATTAACAAGTAAGATATTGCAATAATTTTTGAATGAGTAGAAGCTTGGTGATAGGAATAAATCAATATTGAATTTATTGAATTTCTTGGGTTTATTACTAAAATTTTATATTTTTATCCATAAAAGGTGTCTATCGTTAAATATTTATACATTACTTTACATTGTATAAATTACAAATTAGGAATTACCTAAATAATGAAAAAAAAAATGAATTTAAATAGGTACCTAAGTGAAAATATTAAGATATCCTGTTTTGTGGATGGGTGTCTAGTATTTTACTAGACTAAATCCTCTCAAGTATCCTCAGACCTGTATATTTGTATATAAGAAACACATAAGTACCTATTAATATAACAAATGTTCAGATGTAATCTTCTACTCCACTTATTGTTTATTCAATTAAAACGTCAAYAAAAACATGAAAGTATACTTAATATATCAACATCAAGTATTCAGTATATGCATTATTGCCTTAATTATGTACATCATAATAACGTTGGTTTTTTAACAACTTGAAACTATGTAAAAAAATATTTTGAAAAAAGTCAATACTTTTTTAAATAATGAGTGTTGTTTGATAAAAGAATCACCCTGTATATTTATACAATTAAATAACTTTTGATGTGTCATATGACAATCATCCGGATATTTGCTTATCCGAACCACTCTTGACACTAATTAGTCCGGATAATTGGAGTTTTAGTATATTCTAGATTGATCGTTAAAACATTTTTGAATAATTATACCTAATCACTCATTTTCATAAAAAAAATTTTCAGTTAAGTTATTTTATATCCATTTTATTTCCTGACAAAATATCACTTTTTAGTCTCTCAATAAAAAAAAACTCGTGTCTCTCGTTTTACCTATATTCTGATAATGTATTAAGTCACAACATCCCGATTTCAGTATTCTTAGTACCATTGCTGATAATTCAATCATTATGACAGAAATTTTCACGCACTCGCATAATTATTTGTTTCTACACCAACGTTTCTCAACTTGTGGTAAACGGAAAACTATGTGGTATAATATGAAAATCTCCCTTAATAAAAATATAAAAATGAAATATTATTTGGTTTATTAGATATTAATAATATTATAAATAATAGTTGAACATATTTCATTTTCTCTTTGTGCATTACATTTTTATATTATCATAATTTTGTAGTTCCTAAACTTTAATACAAGTAAGAAACGTACACTTACAATTTTAATAAGCAAAAAGAAGATTATTTGGTCAAGTTGTACCAGTGGCGTCCCTAGACCCTTTCATAGGGGTGGGGGGGCGAACTTCATACATCACCTATATATTTATATGAAAATACACCAATTACTAGGTTTTTTACCTTTTAATTAATTTTAAGAAAGAAAATAGAGGTCATGGAGGGGGCGACTGCCCCATTCGCCCCCCCCCCTTGAGGACGCCCCTGAGTTGTACATAATACATGGTCAATTTTCAAACGTTATTAGTGGTACAAGGATATAGCAATATACAGGGTGATTTTTTTATCGAAGAACACTCATTATTTAAAAAGTATGAGTGTATGAGTATGAGTGTTCTTCGATAAAAAAATCACCCTGTATATAGAAATAGAACCACTTCCTCACAGGACCAAATCTTTTATAATATTATCGACAATGAGTAATTATAATTGTAAACGATACCTGTTTAAAAAGGTGGATTCATTTTAAGTAGTGGAGGTTTCGAATAAATGGAATAATTTTGTTTGAGGGTAGTGAAGATTAATTGAATATACACAGTACTACAGTAGTATTATCATAATGATATTCAAGAATAAGATTTTGAATTTTAAGAAACCAAAGTCTACAATAYAAAGGGAACACTATAATCATTAAGCACGAATCGGAGATAAACAGAATTAAAAAGTATATTGTTGATTTTTAGGTGACAGTAATTCTTATATCATAGCGGTCGTCGGAAGAAAACAGCTAAGCTCAAAATACGACACCCAAACGAACTTCTATATCAACTTGTTTTATGATTTCCTAACATCGGTGTAGTAGTTTCGCGCTAACGAGAAAATTTGTTCTGAGCTGTTTTTATCGTATAACAGCCCCAGTCGTACTATACAATAATTAAATAATGATTACTACAACATAATATGAATGCGTTAAAAAATGGAAAACTRCGCATAAAAGTGGGAGCGCACTTCGGGTTTAGGGATCATAAGCAGGAGACTGTAGAGACACTAGAGACTCGGCGATCGATCTATATCCGCCGTAGTGGTAGCCAGTTTGATTGGGAGRCCGTAACTATACGGCCGTGGTGAGAGAAGACACATGATTGGGACGAGTAATCTTAAACGGCGCTATCATGATAATGATCATACTAGCAAAAAAATCACAATATCTATGGTCAAAAACCAGTTAGGTATACCTTCAAAGAAGCTGGAAGACAGCCACAACAACAGTGATGTTCGCGGTAGATACAGTATTCGATGGCGGCGACTTGTTCGTGAATCGACGTACTTAACGTGCTTGACAAACGGGGCAGCAATCGARTACGTGAGACACAAATTGCAGTGTGGTTATGCTGGACGAGTGGATAGAGTAGACCAGTGAAACTGCGTCGCAGTATGGGCAAATGCCTAACTAATTGTTGACCTTATTATGTCTAGACAAAGGTAAAGGTCCCCGCAGCATCGTCTCGAGCAGTTATTTGGTTTTTGGTACACAGTYGACATCTCTGCAAAAGGTCAATAGAGACAATAGAGTAACAACTAACAACAGTAACAACTATATAACAGCTAAACAGCCTGCAGCCTGCTGATAGACGGSGTCCCGGGATTGTATAACAGCGCTGTACTACAGTACGGCATCCTGTTGTAACAGTGTTGCATCCATTACATCGATGATAAATTATAGTGAATAATAAAATTATGATATAAACAACTACGGGTCGTAGGCAGTTGTCCGAAAAATGATAAGAAGCCGTCGACTGATAACAGTTCGAAAATCGAAAAGCGTTGCCAACCATTATATCCAAAAATCGGTATTTTAGTTGTAATATAAACATACAAATATATTTTATACATACCTAACCTAACGACTACTACAACAACAACAAATATGCAGCAATTACTGAGTAGACACTGACCGTTTCTTTCAGGTTTAATTTACAAGTTACAAGCGGTTGCACAGAGTTAGCGAAAAATAGATAAATGTCTATAGAGTATATAAATATTATACCTATAATTATTGACAATTATTTACCAGACTATATTTTAGCTAATTTTCGGATGGGTTTATGATCTCGCGAGAAAAGGTGTAGTTATATATTATATGGATATAATAACAATAATATAAATTGTAAAATCGATAAATTCCAGCGCGAATATTGTGCATTMACTGGATATTCCAGCTGATAGTGAAAGTTCACTAAGATCAGCGCGTTAACATTAGACTAATGGAACTACAGTCATGCCCAGAGAAACAAAGTTTCTCGCTTACTCTTAAACGGTGTAGAAACTAACATTTAAACAAAACACAAAAAACAACATGAAATTATATTACGATTAACAATGGTAGCAGCTAAATAGGTTTTCAGATTTATTTACAATGACATATTCAGACATCCCTCGGTTTTCATAACAATGAACAATTTGGATCTTATTGAGTAATCACCTTCGATAATATGCTATGGTTGGAGCCACATTGTATTAAATCAATATAAAAAAATTCGATATCAGGTATCAGCTACGAGTCGCCGAATTAGGCGATATTATACTATATTATATTATATTTATATTATTATTATTATTTTGTTATATTATTATATTTAATTATTCTATTTGTGCATGCGTGACGCATCTTCTCACATATTTATCCAAAGTCCATATATTATGATATGTACATCGACCACCTAATTCAGAGACTCGTCGCTAATATTGGATATACGAAAGTCAACTTTTTTTTTGCAAACATTACTTAGTATTAAAATGTAGAACTTGCTCTATTTGTATAATATGGCGGTCAACTTAAATTATTTTCACCTACGCAGGTAATTTGAGTGGACAATAATTCACGCAAGATGTGGCCACTTACTGACGCACCAAAGAGCGTTGCATCCAGGACGGAGGATTGGTGGTGGTGCGGCGACTACTTCGGTGGCGGTTTTGCCCCTCCACATCCATTATGTCGGGTGCACGTTGAGATGCAGGCGATGCGACGCAGCGTAAGAAAAACTACGTTACCTAAGCGACGGAACTACGAATTTTTAGTGTTTATATGTTTCACCGTCCATTGTCAGCATGAGCATGAACGATAATATAATAGCCGAAAAATCAATTATTTAAAGTTATGAATTAGATTCCGACGGATTTGATGAACTTGTGTATCCTAAATTCTTAATACAGCAGTAAATTTGTTTTATTTAGTTATATWAGAAATCAAAAAAAAAAAATAATAATATTTYATGTACTATATAAATTAATTAAATATTAGGTACTTACATTTTACTTACTAATCGATAGACAAATTCGCTGGACTACTTTAGAATAGATTCCAATATGAATGTTGTAAACGCATCAGCTGTTAGTATACGAATATATAGTATTATCCTGTTGTATTAGAATATAAAAGTTTATAATTGTAGTCTACGGGCAATGCCCAATGTGTAGGCGACTCCCGGAATATTGTAGCTACACGACACCCGCTTGGGAACCGTAGAGTCARTCGTTCTAGCTCTTTTAAACCTGTACGTCGTTCCGACGAATAATAATAAACAGTGAATTAAATATTTCGACTCACAATAAAATTATATTAGTATATAAACCTTTAAAACTGTTTTGTTGTTCTCTCTCCTAAAATTGAACCCTCACACTACTTAATATTAGTACCTATTACCTATGTAGTAATAAGTTTTGATAATTTATTTTTTTTKGTAACTTTTCTTTTTTAATTGTTTGTTTTGTGACAAAGTAAACTGTTTCATTCTCATAGTGATGTAGTATTAGAAAATATTAGTCATTATTTCTGTTTAAAATAGACACAATTATTATGAATTATAATTATACTATGTTAAGTAGGTATAAAATGTATAATAATATATTATAGGTAATATTGTATAATTATATATTTTSAAAGTATGAAAAAGGCGGGAAATTAAGCTCCAGTTAATGTTGATAGCATACTGATTTATTAATTTATTGTATTGGATACCTAGATGGCACTAGTGTTGACAAGAACTCGAAGCCCCCGTACCCCGCTCATTGTATACATTAAGGTGGATTTACCTCTCACACTTCCCAACCTGTTTGTTTCCAGTCCTGTATATCTTAGTTTGTGATTCCAACAATGGAATATTTCGTTTGCAATGAAATTTAACAATGATATCCCATTGACTATACAATTTGTAATGAACAGTGCCTACAATCTAGTACCTACTTTAATAAGTATAGAAGTCTGTGTGGTATAAACACAATACTGAAATTTTGAAATTCATCTCGATCGATGCTCGGTGACACGCATTTTATTACTCAAAGTGCATTTCAAAACTATCCGTAGGACAATAGATAAATTATTAACTCAGTAAAAGATTAATTCAGCTATCAATATTTTTATGCTCGATGCGTTCACTTTTAATTATATTTGTCAGCATTGCCATCTCTGTACTGGTAATGAATTGCATATTGACCACAACTGTTTAATGTGTTTGTATGTATGAATACCATGAAAGTTCTCCATCCTAAAGTGCATTGAAACACACACACGCACTCGTGTTGGTGAGTGAAACATACGGTTCAGTCCCTCACAAACAWCTACATAATAAAAGATAGGACTATTTTTTAAGGGGTTGAGTATAGGCAATTTTAATAGTGTGATGCGAGTATATGGTATGCATGCTATACATCAGGCTCTCCAAACTTTTTTATTCGAAAGCCACATAAAATAAAAAAAGTTCTTAGCGGGCTGAAATTGACGAATGCATATAATTTTTTAATAAGTTATTATATTTTATACATATTTTTAGATTATTTGCCGTCATTTAGCCGGCTGATTTCATTTGTTCGMRGGCCGTATTTTGGAGACCCTTGCTATTMATTGTAAACGATCATAATATTTTAGTCTGACTTCCTTGTGCCACCACATATTACGCRCGCACATGCTCAATACATACATCAAAAATGCATTGTCGCGGTCTTGATAAACAATATTTTTTCTAAACGTATCAGAAATACGTATATGTGGCTCACGTACTTTTAATATGTATTTTAATTAAAAGTATACAAAGTAAAAAAATACAACATTTGATATACGTATATATTCTCATTCAAGTTATTCAACATACATCCGTACACGAAAATATGTAAGGTGTAAACTTAGAATTTAGATAGCATGCCGTCAAAAATGTATATATTTTAATACCTTAAGTTTAGATTCTGAGCGGAGTGATGAATGTATTGGTTTACAATGATGTGTAAGTGTCTGTGTACACGGTAAGTTTTCGAAATAATGTTTCGATTTTTAACTTCAGTATTTTTTCCGGTTGGAAAAAAAGTGARTCTAGTTGGTACATCTGGGAGGTTAAAATTTGAARTTCCCAGTAGTTTTCAAAAGCGCCGGGAAAAGTGAAATTTATTTATCTTTATCTGTATCTATTACACTTATATATTTATATACTAAAATTACCTGTGTATTATTTAGATGATATTTTAGTTACCCATCTACCTATTCTCAAAACCGAGTCAATGAAACTCGGTCCTTTTCGGTGATAAATGATAATAGACTTTAGTAGGRTAAATAGGAATTAACTAACCAGCTAGGTACTCTTTAACTGGAAAGGATAAAGTACAAATACCAACCATGATGAGCTTTTAACACACCAGTACAATAAAATACTAGTTGTAAGACATTTTTATAGTAAATTTATTTAGTGTAAGCACATATTATGATCGTTTACAATGAATAGCAAGGGTCTCCAAAATACGGCCCGCGAACAAATGAAATCAGCCGGCTAAATGACGGCAAATAATCTATGACTTATGAATTTCATATTCTTTTTATCATACGGCGCTATAGTTTAAGTAAAAAAAATTCCCTAGGGAGGGGTAATCGCCACGTCGACCCCCTCAAATTCGCCACTGTATTAAATAATATGACTGTGGTTTGCGCCGACAGGCCTTGGGGCACTACGTCACCGCGCTCAGGTAGTGGCGTTCGGTCGACATTAGCCTCCTTGCGATTGTCCACAACAGGTAGAGCGCAATGACCTCACCATCTCGACCTGAAACGTCCGTAAACCTATGTATTTGCATTGATACTGTTCAATTAGAGAGTATACTATTATGATTATTCATTATTATGATGACAAAAAATATGTATATAAATAATAGGGAACTATATAGACTACGCGTACATAAAATATTAATTAAATTAATGTTATGCTTTATGTGCCACGAAACGTCGGTATAAATTTAAGTATGATATTAATAGATACAATTTAAATATAAAATTTATAACATAAGATATTCAATGTTTTGTTGATTTTTGATCAATCTTCTGTTATCAAAATAAATATAAATAAAAACTACCAAATAATGTAACCATAATTTTTTCCGCCAAGTTATATTTGGTGGGTACAAAAAAAAAGAAGATACGAATTTTTACAAATTTAAGATATGCAGTCATACCGGCCGCAATGGTCCGAATCGCAAGGTAGTCCCTTCTGTAGATTTACGTGAATTCGTTTTGGTG